TGGTACAAAGTTTAACAAGTGTTTAACTATTCATAGAAAATGGTTAATACTTGCTTACTTACTTACTTATGCACTAACTTACTTACTTACTTACTTACTTACTTACTTACTTACTTACTTACTTACTTACTTACTTACTTACTTACTTACTTACTTACTTACTTACTTACTTACTTACTTACTTACTTACTTACTTACTTACTTACTTACTTACTTACTTACTTACTTACTTACTTACTTACTTACTTACTTACTTACTTGCTTACTTTCGTCTGTTACTCCCGATGGAGTGTAGGCCGCCGACTAGCGTTCTCCAATCTGCTTGCTCTTGGGACTTCTTTTATTATGTGTCGATGTATATATGAACAAGGTGCGTCATGCACAATACCACTCACATATAACTACTCACAGTTACGAAGAATTTAGTTTATATACATATATATAACTCCACCTGGAGGCCCTCTGAGGCTACTGCTTGTTCAAAGCCCGGATATAGGAGGAGGGTTGGATATGGGGTTGGTGAATCCATACTGTCGAAAATCAACTCTCTAAAAAAACACTGACCGGAAAAAAAAAGAAAATGGTCATAGAAAACTAGAATGGAAATGATGATATCTGGGTATACAGTTTGTGGAGATATTTTTCAATTCGAAAACAGTTTACAATACAATGTGGTTATGACGATACACTTTGAATAATAGTATTATGAATATTGTCGTTTTCACACACTGAAATCCTGAGTTGATCGATACTGTACCAGCATTAGAAACCTGGAAGCACCGGTAAGCTGGCCGTTTCGTTTTGCTGTAGGACTTATCAGTAGTGTTCATCCACGACTCCTGGTACTCACAGTGTTCGAACCCAGGACCTTCGGCCTAACCTCTTAATGACTGAGCTAGTCGGCATCCGACGGTGTTAATGTCTAATAACTCTGATCAATCTAAAGATTTTGTGTAACCCCACTCATTGTCTTTGGTAGGTATTTGCCTACACTCGACAAGGTTGAACTATGTTTTTTTATCTCACCGCAAGATGCCACAAAAAATATGTATACACATATCATAATGGTCAGTGATTAAAAAGCTGGAACATTCGGATTCTATAAGGAGTGTTGAGTTAGTATGCTGATATGGTTTATCAATTTTCAATATTCCTTGATTTTAAAGTTATTTCTTGTTGAAACCGTGAATTGATCAATGTCACTAGACTGTCTAAAACATTGATTGATTCATGATTTGAATGAAACTCAACAATCTCTTCACAACCTACTATCATGAAAACTATTTCTTAACGAAGTCATTTCAAACTATTTAAAAATTAATTTTGTTTTCGGATTATGGTCATAGTGTCAGTTTCAAATTTAAAAATCATACATCAATCATAGTTGGATCACTATTAGAAACCCGAAGGCATTGATTGGCTGTTTCGTCCTGGCACGGGATTCATCAGTAGTGCGCAACCACATGATTCATACTATTCATAGGAATGCTTTCAATAATAAACGGCAATCATCATAAATCTGTGATGAAAAACCGTAATATATGCTCACTAGTCATTAGCTTCATCAAGGAATTTTCAGAGTTCTAGTGAGAAGATGTGACCAGTAGAGTTCAACGCTGTCCGAAGTAGGCCATTACCCGCCGAAGACAATGGGGGCGAGGTTGTGCGAAATCCTTAGATTGATCAGAATTAAATATTAACACTGTTGGATGCCGGCCAGCTCAGTCGTCAAGAGGTTAGGCGTTCGCACTCAAGACTAAAAGTCCTCGGTTCGATTCTTGCAAGTAGCAGAAGTTGTGGATGAACACTGCTGATGAGTCCTATACTAAGGTGAAAATGCTGGCTTATAGTGATGCTTCCAGGATTCTAATAGTGTTTTGATAATGACTGATTCATAATTTCCTATATTGTTCGGAAGTATAATTCATCTTGACATGGATTTATGAACTTTTTAGTGCCTTCAATGATTTTTTTCAATAAAAGTTTGATCAATACGAATTGTTAATGAACATATACTGAACAAATAATTTACAGTCAGATTCTTATATAAAACATGACATCTGAACACATAAACCCTAATCAAACTCAGGGTGCCTAGATTTATCTAGTAGGCAAGATATCATTGCTGGAGTTTTGTTCACTAAGCTGAATGCTTTGATTGTGAAGCTTTCATTGTTTACCTCTGAACATCATCAGCAAATCGTTGACTCACTATTTCCCATTCTCTCAATTAACTAGTCCAATATACTTTATTGAAATGTCATCTTTACTCTACTGAACATTTCTTATAGTCAAATTGTAGTGAAGGAGAACATAGATGAAGGCAACCAAATTGTATATATCTCAAATTACAGAGTTAATTGGTAAAATAGGAAAACCATATCGTAAATTGTTAATTTACAAAATATCAATCCATCATATCGAACTGGACTGTTCCTGTTGCAAAACATCAAACATCCATTGTCTGACATTTCACTGTTTATGCGTTTCAAACAAATCCCATTGTGTTCCCAGTCTTTCTTTCTTGATCTTCCCCCCATCTTCTGCTGCCAGACATTACGTTTTTTTACTTGCTTCATATACTACTTATAAGTAGCGCACACTACAAAATGACTAGTATAAAGTAGTTAATTAATACTGAATGATAATGAATTGTTTTTATGATTTGAACACATGAAAATTAATCAGTCGATTGACTGGTCAATAGAATTTTATGAGCTGCTGGAAACTTTATTTTGCATATAATTCAAGAGTATAGTTTTATAAGTGATAATCTAGAAAGATCAATAGATTTGTTTGTAAATAAAATACTGTTAAAATTGTGAATTTAATTCAGTTTAATAATGAATGTATGAACTTTGGGTTCGATTTTTTTTGTATGCAGACTATGCAAAGTTGTTTAAATGTAAATTAAAATAATGAATGAGCCAATCAGAAGTGGCGAAATGAGGTCATCTGGTGACCTTCAAAAAATGGAGATCACTGATCAAGAAATTGCTTCTTTTTCTAAGGAATTTGTAAATATTATTCGGTAACCAAATAGACTTTCGTGTTCTGTTCTTGTCGTTTGGCTGAAAAGTAGTCAGTTTCAGTCTGAGGTTAGCACGTAATGCGATCAGATGATCTGGGATACTAGACATCATAACAGAAATGAAATTCATGTTACTCCCTAATAATTGAAACTAGTTGTCTTTTAATCAGTCTGAAAGGATTAGATAACCCCGTTTCGTTTCAGTACGAGACTCCTCATTAATACATCTCCACAACACCGTAACCAGATTTAGTGAGATTCAATGAAACGCATACTGTTACTGAATGACCTTTCTAGAACGATTTATTGTTAAAAATTTTCTTAGAATTCATAAATTTCACCGACAGTAGATTAAAATATGAAGTCACCTACATTGGTTGGCTGAATCTTTCAACTGATAGTTACAACTGCTGCAGTTGATCTGTCTGGTTTTGGAATGTGTATCTGTGTCCGGATTACCCCGATATTGTCATCCAATCACAAGCATTTATTAGCAGTGCAATCCAGGACGCGCGTTTCATGTTATTTTGGACTTGTCAGCTATTGGATCTACTTGCCATATTTCAGAGGTGATGTTCATTCACTTCGAAACTTGATCCCACTACTGTTTGGCTCAAACATCAATGTCTTTCTTATTCATTCAGTCAGTGATTGCAGATCAATACTGACTTGCGTAATGCGTTAAAGTTTGATTTATTTTGTATTGATTGTCTGAATCTACACACTTATGTTTAGGACCTCATTGCACAATTTAGTATCGGTATAAACTCAGTAAAAAGATAACATTTGAAGTAAAGGATACTAGGTCCCGAATTCCATGGTGAACATCAACTCTGAAATATGACAGGCGTACATTTAGCTGCAGACAATTCCCTAACAGGATGAAACACACACATCTTGCATCCCCTTGTTATAATCACTATTCACTTCTGCCAATAAATTATCCTATCATTGAAGAGCATTAAATGAAAATTTTCCCTACTCTCATTCATTATACAATATCATAGTCATGATAGTTTTAAATTTCAATCCTTCTAATATGTTTTAAGTAGTAGAGCTAAATATTTAAAAAAAATTTAATTTATACACTCTTTTTTATTAGTGGGGAATTGAATTTCGAAGGAAAACAACTGTCTAGTGAAAACATTCAATTCAAGAAATATATATATATATGTATATATGTTCTGTGTTTTAAATACAACTTGCTTAGAATTCATTCAAATGTCAATAGGATAAGTAAATTAAAACAAGTGTATATCACATGACTTTTTCGATTGGATTATCTATTGAACTCATTCATCATGAACATTACTGGATAGTGTTGATCAGTGTCCAATAGTAAAGATTACATAGTTAAGAGTAAGAGAGAGACAGAGATAGAAAGTAAGAAAGTTATACAATTTCTTATCATGTTCATAATTATTACTAGTATGATTATAATACTTATTATGCATATAGAATGGCAATATCTTTTTGGGGAAAAAATGGGTGGAAAGGAGGATTTTTGGCTCGTTTTTAGAAAAAAATTTTTGGTGCTATTATACATTTGCATATATAGTAGTCGTCTCATAAGATACAATGATCATGTGAACAACGTTCTCTATAAAAAAACATTGTCTTCTTTTGTGTTTTAATGGCACAATTTCAACTGTTGGCATGGTGATATTGATAACTTTAAAAATTTTAAATAGAATGGTCAAATAGGAGAGTGTAACTTCTCAACAATTGATTTGCAAAATGTTGTAAATCATCTCTGTTTTAACAATGATAATGAATAATTCAAAATTCAATTTTATGGATAGAAACTATACAATAAGAAAATGAAGTGGATAGAATATTGAACATTGAACTAAGTTGATTGTTTAAATGCAGTAATTCAGTAATAGTTCAATGAATTCAATTTTAAGCCAAGAGTCTAAATGAAATAATAATGAATCATTTTGGAAGTATATTTTTCTTTTGTGATACTTTAAATCAATGTATTCATGGTATTATTCACAGTTGTACTAGTAGTAGACATTGTCATCGGTTCTGTGATGTGAACATGATTCTCTGTATTATTACCTATTTTATCCAATAAACGTGAAAGCATAAATGTGGGTTTATTTAATTCTAGTGAATTTGTTTTGTCAATTGTCAATGGTTGTTGTTGTTGTTGTTTTACACAACCGTAACCATAGTTACCGTGATCAGTGTCCACCAATACATCAATAGTGTTGTTATCATTAATAGGATGATATAAAGGTTTTGAATGAGATTCAATGTTTTTAAATAAATTCAATGCGTCAATATGTTGTTCAATGTATTGTTGATCAGTAGTGAGTAGATTATTGAAATTATTTAATAAATGAATTGTTTTTTGATCATCACACAATGGAAATGATGGTAATCGTGATTGATTCATAATTGAGGATCCATTTAATAGAGGATAATGTAATAATCCATGCGTTGAACTGTAAAGTTGATAAGTCAGATCTAAAACAAATTGACAGAATAACAAACTGACTACTATCAATGTATGATTTTAATGAAACGTAATAATCCACACTATGCTATAATGAAAAAGTGTAAAATGTACTCACTAATGACTAGTTCCGTGAGGGAGTTCTACTGAGAAGCCGTGACCGGTGGTGTTCAACCGTGTTAGGTGTAAAACAGTTACCCACCACAAACAATGGATAAGGCTGCTGAAAATAACCTTGTTGGATGCCGCCGGTTCAGTGGTCTACTAGAGGTTAGGCAGTCGCGCGTGAAACCGAAGGCCTCATGTTCGATTCCTGCAAGCAGGGATTGCCAATGCACACTGCTAATGAGTCCCATACTAGAACCAACTGACTGCCTAGTGCTTCCAGGTTTCCTAATGATGGTCTAACATTGGTCAATTCATGATATCAGTTGTTATTTATTTTTGCTATTCAAATAAGTAGTAAGTACGTTTGTATGATTGTTATATGTTTAAATCTATAATTATCTGAATATGTAGGGAATTTTAGTGATCATACTACTTATATAAGAGTTTAATGATACTGACAAATCAGATAAGTGTACAACACAACAAATAATCAAAGTCATTATGTTTTAGAACTAACCGAAAAAAACTTTAAGTTTCTTTTATTGTTAATTTAACTGCGAAAGATTGAAAATACAAAGAGCTTAAAAGTTGCAAAACTTGATGTTTTCAAATGATTTTCGCATAATATATTATTGTCATTATAGGGTTGTGGAGAGATTGTTGAATCTCACTGAAATAAATGACTGACCAATAATAGTCCAATATTAAAATCTTAGAGCTACTAGACAGCCGTTTTGTCCAAATGTAGGACTCATCAGCAATTCGTATCCAATATCGTGCATGCAGAAATTGAACCTAGGACCTTCAGTCTCACTCGCGAATGTTTAATCTCGAAATCAATCAGTCGGTATTTAACGCTGTTCGTGTCTAACTTCACTCAATCGACGATATTGTGCAACCATTGTCCAACACAAAGTAGTGAATACAAAAACTCAATAGTTTGGAGATTTTTTGTTATTGAGATATCTTCAAGATCCTGAATTCGATTACCTGGTCAAACAATAGATGCATACTGCTTTTGAAGAGTTCCATACCAGAACAGAACAGTTCTGAATGTTTGTAATTGGTCCATGATACAAACTGCAAAACTAAAAACTTTCTACAAATTACACTTTACTAAAAAGTGGTCAAGACGTGAAGCGTTTACGAGCGAGACCGAATATCCTTTATTCAGTTCCTGTATGCTTAGGTTGTAGATGTGCAGTGCTAATGACACTTTTGGACATTTTCGGCTCACTTATGGGGTACAAAAGTGTATGTAGTTTTTGCTGGAAATTTCAATTCCAAATGATGATTTTTCACAAAGTCAGTAGAAGGTAGTGGTCAACTGAAAAGGTTATTTGATGACCATCAGAATATGTTTACAAGGACGAATGCATATCATTGGTCAGGCAGAAAATGGCTTGTTTTTCTAACTAGTCCGTTTTTTTGGGTGGGGTTTTAATGTGTATCACATTTCAAATCTGCGATGTACAACTCATCATAACAATTTCCAATCAACATATACTTGTTACAGTCATCTAACATGTTAGATTGTGCTATACATTGAAATAACTGTACTTCATAAATGAAATTTAATCTTTACTAAATACTACTCTTAATTAACTAGTAACCACTCATGAAATAAACAAAAATAAATTGACAAGATGCAAAATATTCATTCAATCTTAAAAATATAAATAATCTTAATTCTAGTTAGAATTACATATAAGTAGTATCGTTTAAGCAATGATAAAAAAACGGAAGGTTATTGTATCATAAAAATTTGTTGAAATAACATTACGTAAATGCGATCGACTCGAAGGTGCATTTCTTTCAATGGTGAATCTTACTTTAACTACAAAATTTTCAATAAAATGATTTAACCAATATAAGATTGAATGGATAAAAGTAACTGTTATCTATTCTTCTAAGATCATGTTGTCTGCTGAAATTATGAACCAGTCAATCAACTAACCATCGACTACCGCGACGAGCTATGTTTTGCAGTGTAGAAGTAGGTTGGATGAAAGTTAGGAGTGGCCAAACCCAAACATGGCACAAATGCATGAAGTCACTGACAAGTGGACTGAGTCATGTTGGTAGATGTAGGCTATCTGGTTGGGGTCCGCGAGATGAAAGTCACAAATGGTTAGAGACCTTGAATGACATGGCTCAAAATCGTTTGCAATGGCGCAGGTGAATCCACTCTTTGTGTTCTATGAAATTCTAAGTTTCTTCACTCCTCATAATATCTATCTTTCTCCTTCTAAATTTATCTCATTCAATTATACTTTTTGAATTATATCTTCGCTCTCTAATCTTCTCCATTACTGCTAATAATTCTACTATCTTTATCACTCTTGGATTTGAACTGACAGTTGCGTCTCTGTGCTGACGTAGTATCGCAACCTGAACTGATGTACTTACGTACGAAGTTCTGCGTTTTATCTGTCTGTCTGTTATCCAACTAACCAACTAATATTAAACCACTAAACATTTCGTTCTGGTACAGACCTCATCAGCAACGGACATGCATGACCATGAAAGATGGGAGTCTAACGCAGGACATGTCTAATTTCATTCAATCTATGCTATTTCCACTGCTATGGCATTTGAAATCATGAATCGATCTTTAATAGATCATCATTAGAAACCAGGAAGCACTGAAAGACGACCGCTTCATCCTGGTATGGCACTCAGTACGCATGTACGACATTGTATTGAAACGATGTGTTATCTTTAGTGACTGAATCAGTAAAGCTATGATGGCGTTTCATGGATTATTCAATCAGTTTATATAAACACAAGTTGTTTAAATGAGTTATTTAAGACTTTATATAGTAGCATCGTAAACGTAAATGGTTTGATTTTTATGATTATATTGACACTTTGTATGGAATACACTCTAACTTTAGAATACAAAAAAGATAGTTTTTAAACATTTTGTTTAGTCTTCTTGTTTTCTTCATTTTATAGCTACACTATTCTTAATTGAAGTTTGATATTAAAGCCTTGAGCATTGAACAGAACAATATTGTTTTAACGCGTTGATTATTGAAATTTCATGAATAATTTGTGTTTTTTTAAATGAATGCTATGTAGTAAAATTTGATCTTTATTGAGATATAAATTGCTCATTAAGTCAGCTGCAAGGTAGAAGTTTGAACATACGTACATCCGTTCAAGTCGCCATACCATATCGACACACAGAGATCGAATTGTCAATTCAAATCCCACAGAAGAAGAGATAGTAGAAATTTTAGCAGTATTCGGAGAGATTAATGTTCGAAGATATTATTCAACAAGTAGGATCTAGTGAAATAAACTTGAAAAGGGAAAGATAAAGGTGATAAGGAATTCACAAGATTAGGATTTGAGAGGACACAATGAATGAATGCACCTGTGCCATTGCAAACGGTTCTGAGCCACGTCGTTCAAGGTCTCTAACCATCGGTGAATTTCATCTCGCGGACACCAACCAGGTAGTCTACATCTACCAACATGACTCAATCCACACTTGTCAGTGACTTCATGGATTTGTGCCATGTTTTTGTTCTGGCCGCCATATTGAAAGTTTTATTATCTAAATTACGCAACAGTAAAACTTGACACTAATCATTATTTATTTATTAGTTTCAATGGTATATTGAACTGATTTTTTCAATAAACCATACAATTCAATTAGATTTAATCAATGATGATCTATCATGATGAGATAATCAAAGTATACAATTGTAATTGTTATTGAAAAATGCGCTTTTGTTTTAATGGGTTTTATATATTTTCACTATTGAACAAAAGCTCATTTGAATATCATACACATGTATATATATATATATATATATATATATATATATATATATATACATTATTTGAGTAATTCATGTGTATTTTCTCTCATTCTATGAATGCAGAAATCTCCTCTGTATAATAGATAGCGCTCATTGATTACTGATCAAACTAATCATCATGTAAGCAGATATTACATCGATGATTACATAATCATAATAATCCCAATAATAATAATAACTAAGAGTCAGTTGAAAGAAAAAAAACAATCTAATCACCGAATTCATCTGATAGCTAATAATAATAATAATAATAATAAAGACAGGAAATTATTTATTTATGTATCTCTTACGTGAAATCAAATATTTTTTACAAATTATTTTGTCTGATTATGTATGTCTATCGTGAGACCACCGAGTAAGCAATGGTGTAGTTAGGAGAAGGGTATTCAGTAATAATGGTAAATTAGTTGATGAAGTAGTGAATATGCATGCCTTGGTTGAGATGGTTGGGTCATGTGTTACGAATGTTCAACCAACGACTGCTTCGACAAGTAATGTTTTGTGGTGTAGGAGTTGGTTGGAAGAAAGTTAGGGACGGTCAAGCCACAATATGGCACAAATCAATGAAGTCACTGACAAGTGGATTGAGTCATGTTGGTTGGTATTGGAGAGACAATAGTAATCGATGGTTAGATACTTTGAATGACATGATTTAAAATCGCTTACAATAGAGCAGGTGTATTCATTGTTTGTGTTCTCTCAAATTCTAGTCTTCTGAATTCCTCACTAGATCCTACTTTTTAAATAATATTTTCGAACCCTAATCTCTCTGATTACTGTTGAATACACTTGTACTACCTCTACAGTTCGACCTCTCTCTGTGTTAATATGGTATGGCAACTTGAATTGATGTATGTTTTATTTGACTGATTGATTACCAGTAGGCAGTTTAAATATTTTTGTTGTTTAGTGAATGCAGTTTATATAAAAATTTACATGTCATGCAATACAACATGAAGTGATCACCGTCAAATCGTCAATGGAAACGCGTAAGAAATAAACGGTCGATTCATCCTAGCATGAGACTGTGTGGCAGAGTACATCCACAAACCATGCAACTTATAATCGAACCCAAAATCTTCAAGTAGCTTAATCTCTAAACCACTCAGTCAGTCAGTATTCACTGGTGTTCATGCCTAACTTTAATCAACTCATGATATTATGTGATCATCATGTGATCATGTTTGCTGAGTAACTGCCTCACGTAAGCGACGCGGTCGAACCCTACTGTTGATGATTTCATACCATTCACATAATAATTGTAGCCAGTTTAAGGGCAGTAGAGATTATTGAACTGTGCATTAAACTCATGAACTGTTGAATGTGTATGTTCCTAATGCTAAATGGAGGATCCATTCAGCAAGTAGATTTCAACAAATATAAGGTGATGTTTCAAAATGATTTCTTTTATAAAATTGTTTATTTATGATAAAATTAAGATGTTTCATATTTTCGGGAAATTAACTTACATAGTCGACTTTAATCTATATTGGAAGTAAGAAATTTTCAGTCTTTTCTATATGGAAATCTAGTTACTATTAGTGTTTATGAATATAATGGTAAATACTACTCACAAATGTCTTTTAAGTAATATACAGTGCAGTGCAGTGTCATCTACAAGTTGCTGTCAGAAAGAACAGTGTCAAGAGATTGAATTGCATAGAGTAATTCGAGTATTTTCTCAGGGCCGAATGGACGAAGTGAAATTAGACAGTCAATAACGTGCTTGGATTGACGACGAAGTGTACATATTCCGTCGACAAACTATGTCCTCCCGATAACTATCTGTTCTATATAGTCTTGAGTAGAGCTAATCATAAACTTCACTGTTATTTACTATTTTGACATGATATCCGAGTATCAATCAGAATGAAACTGGAATTGTTACTTTCATTTCAAAGCTCCCAGTATTCACAGTGCTCACTAAACGTATTCCCTACAGAAGGCCATGAACAGTGGAAAGTTTTCTACAATGGACGTTTCAACAAGCATCTTACTACATTCAGTCATAATGAAAGAAAAACTACAAAGTAGTAAAAGTCTCAATCAATTTTATAATAAAAATTATTTCAAAAATATGTATAGTTCAGTGATTAAATGAACAAATACATGACAGTTATTTTACTGACGACAACATTTTTAGATGTAATGACAATGTGGAGTATATCCCTATTTTCATAATCTTGTCTTTCTTTCGTAAGATACTAATAATGATCCGCTGGTTAGACACCATCAGCCACAACCTACTGTGGAAGAGAACAAACCAGATTCCAGCGGAGGAAGAAATCAGGAACAAGAGCTGCAGGTGGATAAGACATACATTGTCAGTCAGTCAGATGCAATGTAGAACTTCGTACGTAAGTACATCAGTTCATGTTGCCATATCACATCAGCACAGAGATATAATTGTCAATTCAAATCCAATAGTAGAAGAGGTAGTAAAGGTATTAGAAGTAATCCGAGAGGTTAGGATTAGAAGATGTTATTCAAGAAGTATGATTCAGTGAGAAAAGTTTAGAAAGTCAAAACTAGAGGTGTTGAAGAATCCAGAAGATTAGGATTTGAGAGAACACAAAGAATAAATGCACCGGCGCCATTGCAAACGATTTTGAGCCATGTCATTCAAGGTATCTAACCATCGATTATTATCATCTCGCGGACCCCAACCAGGTAGTCGACAACTACCGACATGGCTAAGTCCACTTGTCAATGACTTCATAGATTTCTGCCATGTTTTTATTTGGCCGCCCCTAACTTTCTTCCAACCTTCTCCTACACTACAAAACAAAGCTCGTCAAGGTAGTCGGTGATTAGGCATACGCAACACATGTCCCAACCACCTCAACTGATGAAGTTTCACCACTTCATCTATTGATCTGCCATTCTTACGTAGCACCCGTTTCCTAATAACTGCGTCGTTCACTCGGTTGTCCTACGATATACGAGCAATGCTTCGAAGACACCTATGATCGAAAACCAGTAACCTACGAATATCTTCTACTCTCACTGGCCATGTTTCACAGCCATAAAGTAAGACGGTGCGAACCACTGCGCAGTACACTCGTCCTTTAGTCAGCAAACGGATGTCTCGCCTACGTCATAAGTGACGCAGGTTGGCAAAAGCCAATCGAGCCTTCTGTATCCGAGCTGAGATTTCGTCAGTCACCAGGCCATCGGCACTGATGAGACTCACATTGAGGAAAATATGATACTGAATCACATAACAAGCCGTCAAGGTCATTGGAGACAGACATGAGAAGAATGAATAAAAATTGGACAAACCGGGAATAGAAGATTCAGGACAAAGTATGTTGGAGAATACTGGTCGGTGGCTTATGCTCCACTAGGGGGGTAACAGGGGAAGGTAAGTAAGTAAGTGTATAAATACACAATAAAATTAAGTTCTTTAACATAGAAATCCATGAACAGTCTTATGGTAGGTATTCTTTTTATCTTTTTTGATGAAGATGATTTTTATTAGTCTCATCAATTGAAATTTGATGACTTCATATTTTTAACACATTACAATATTGTCATTATTAAAGGGTTATAGAGATGGTGTGAATTTCATTGAAGTTATGAATCGAACCATGTTAAATCCTTTATAGAAACCTCGAAACAGTGGATGGTACTTTTGTCCTAATATGGGACTCATCAGCACTGTGCATCCATGATCCCTATAAGTAGGAATCAAATCCAGGACTTTCGGTTAATGCTTAATTTCTAGATCAGTGAGCTGGCCGGCGTCCAGTGGTGTTCATATCTAACGTCAATCAATCCAAGACATAAATTTAATTATCATGAGCTCACCAGTGACTAACTTCTTCACATAATTCTCAGAGTTTCGGTGAGAGAACTTTAATAATTGGATTTCAACAGTGCCGATAGTGTGAGGCAGTTACCCATTATGAATTGATTAAAACAAGACAATAATACCGATAGACACCGATTTAGTGGTTTCAAGATTAAACATTCGTGAATGAGATTGGAAGTCCTTGGTTTGATTCCCGTATACTGAAGTTGAGGATGCACACTGCTGATGAGCCCCGTACTAGGACGAAACGACCATCCAGTGTTTCCAGGTTTCTAATGATGGTCTAACATTGATCGATTCATGGTTTCAATGAAATATTATAACATATTCTTGTGTTCACATAATCCTATTAAGCTATCAGCTAAACACTAGACATTATCTAACCTTATTAATGAGAGAATACTACCACTCGCACTGCTACTACTATTACTACTACTACTACTCACACTACTACTACTACTACTACTACTACTACTACTACTACTACTATTACTACTACTACTACTCACACTACTACTACTACTACTACTCACACTACTACTACTACTACTACTACTACTACTACTACTACTACTACTAGTAGTAGTACTACTACTACTGCTACTCCGACTACTAATACCACAGTTATCATTTATTATTGACATCACTTACCTTGAATAGGTGATTGTGCAAATTTCTCTTGTTTTCCAGAATGTTTCGGTTTTCTTCTTGGTCGATATTTATAATCTGGATAGGCTTTCATATGACTAACTCGTAAACGTTTCGCTTCATCAATAAATGGACGTTTTTCATGATCGGTTAATAATTTCCATTCAATGCCTAAACGTTTACTAATTTCGGAATTATGCATTTTTGGATTGGCTTGAGCCATTTTACGTCGTTGACCACGTGACCATACCATAAATGCATTCATTGGACGTTTCACGTGTAAATGACTGTTGTGTTGATGATGATGGTGATGATGATGACTGTGATGACGACGTTCTTGCTGATGCTGACGCTGATCCAGGTGACCTATTGGAATCGGTGAAAATGGAGAAGATGATGAACAAGATGAAGATGGAGATGTTTGTTGATGTGGGAAATATTGTTGATCAATGGAAGTCGATGGGGAGATTGATGATGAAAAGGTTGGATTCGTTGTCAATGATGATGATGATGATGACGATGATGATAATGGTAATGTAACAGAAGTTAATCTTTGATGATTACTATTTACAGTACTATGAATCATATTATGATTTTGGCTGGAATTGGACATTGACATAATCAATTCCGAATTCATTAACATAGACATCATATTAGCAGTATTCATGTGTTCATGATCAACATTTGGATTAGTTGAAGATATTGAATGCAAATGTTTTGCATAGAATTGTTCATTCATAGTTTTGGGCAGAGTTCTCATTGAATTCAATGATGATGATGATGAATGAGTCATTGCACTGGTATGCAAATATTGATCATTGAATGTTGTTTGTTTCGGATTCGCGGTAGTAGTGGTAGTAATGTAACGCATTAATTGATTCCATAGAAATGGATGATTATTAGTCATGCTAATTATGAATACTACTAATTGTAAAACACAAACTACTTATATGATGTAATATGTAGACCGTCTATTCAGTTCATTGTTGTACATACAGTGATTATGTTATTCAATGCTTTTTATCTACTTTTAAACCTGTGAATGAATTGTATTGTATTTTTTTTAAAAAAAACCTTTTGTTATTGGTGTTGCGGTTGTTGTGGGGTTCTCAGTAGTAGGAAAATAAAAACATCACCATAGTTTTATGCTCACACTTGTATCCTCTCCCTTCGCTAGTATTTTTTCCTTTCCCCTTTCAATTACATTTTACATATAGAAAAATGAAATACAGATTGAAAATAAATAAGTTTTTACTTTTCATTTTCGATTGGTTTATACTTTTTTTTGTGGGAAATTCTTTGTTTTTTCCCTGTGGTTACTGAATGTGATTGGATGTGTTAGGAGTTGTATGTGTGTGTGTGTTTCATCCCGTCTCTCTCCCTACTCTCTTTTCGTGGAGTATCTACACCTGTATGTGTGTGTGTGTGGTGTTCTAGCTTTTCATTGGGATTTGATTGTGGTTTCTTTTGGTTACATTTTCGATTGTAGACTGATAGTTAGATAGATAGATTGATGAATATTGTTGTCGCAATAGAGAGGAAAATTCCCCTGTAAGCTGTTATCTTTACATTTTCATTAGACAATATATTATGTGTTTGAATTTATGTCACGGACAAATGCAATATGTTGATGTGTGTGTGTGTGTCTGTGTGGATGAGCATTGATCTACATGGCTATTCCTGAATACAGACTTATGTACAGAGAGAGTGACTGAGTGAGTGAGTGAGAGATGTATATCTGCTAATCATTGCTTTTATATTGGTTGATTCACATCAACCGATAAAGAGGAATATTGTAGTCTAGATTAAAACTAGAGATAATGAATGATAATGATATTCATACTACTCATACTACTATTAGTAATAATAATGCTATTATTGATCAGAAGGATACTTATAAATTGTCTAGTTCTGTATTTATTAGAAATCATTGACATTTCAGCTATTCTAATCTACTTATGTAAATATCAGTGAAATCTCTATAAGCCTATAAAAGTGAATTATCATGTGCTCACTAATGACTAGTTTAGTGAGCAAGTTTCTCCGAATTCTAGTAAGAAGTCGTGATCAGTGAAGTTCACTGCTGTTCGGGTGTGAAGCATTGCTCACTGAAGAGGAGTGGATGAGGTTGCTCAAAACCGTCCAACTCAGTGGTCCAGAGATTAAGCGTTCCTGCGCAAGACCAAAGGTCTTGGATTCGAATCCTGTGAGTAACAGGAGTTGTGGATGGGCACTGCTTGCCTATGGGTCCCATCAGTGCTTCCAGATTTATAATACTGATCTAATATTGATCATTTCATGATTTCAAAATTAATGCTGGAGTTGTGGTTTTTTGATACCGTTATGAGTGGTCCATTTAAAACATTTTATTAGTCTTCTTTTAAAAGATACTGTTTTAAATTTAACTTTTTTTTTAGTTTATGAAAAAACTCAGAATTCCAACTGGTATGTACTTACACGAGTTGAAAGAAACTTTCAGTTCATTAAAATGTTAAGCATTTGAAGATTGGAACAGAGGCAGGTGGTTGGGACATGTGTTACGAATGCCTGCCCACCGACTACCTCGACGAGTAATGTTTTGCGATGCAGGATTTGGTTGGAAGAAAGCTAGGGGTAGCCAAACCAAAACATGGTACAAATCCATGAAGTCACTGACAAGTGGACTGAGTCATGTTGTTAAGTGTGGATTATTTGGTGTTTTGGTCTACGAGACGAAAATCACCGATGGTTAGAGACCTTGAATGATGTAGGTCAAAATCGTTTGCAATGGTGCAGGTGCATCCACTGTTTGTGTCCTCTCAAATTCTAACCTTAATTCTTCGTCATCTCTATCTTTCTCTTCCTAACTTTATTTCACTGAATTATACTTCTCGAATCATATCTTCGCTCCCTAATCTTCTGCATTGCTGCTAATAATTCTACTATCTCTACCACTACGGGATTTGAACTGACATTTGAGTCTCTGTGCTAATGCGGTGATGTTATTCTCTAGCTTCAATAATCCCACTATACTGTACAGCCATCGTGGTAGTGTTTTTCGTTCTCTGAGCTGGATGTTTTGGTTGTAAGTTGAAGTAATCAGTTGACGTATTTGGACTAAAGGCATATCATAAAGATTGAAATGGAAGGAACATTTTGAAAAATATCCGAATGATTACATTATCAACGTATTCAAGAAAAAAAAGAAAATTATTGTCATATTTTATAATTGCTGTCACAAATGTCTTACGGTTAGAAATAAATTGATTCTTATTATTAGTAGTATTATGGCTACCGGTATTAATATTACTTACAAAATCATTTAGGTAGTATAGTTCTATTAATGATCAATATTGGTTCGTAGATCATAAATCAATCGTACTGTGTATCCTTTCTCATTAAATCAAAATATATTAGATTCTTCAAGACATAAATGAAATCAGTATAAACGATATTCGGATCACAGAAAATTGAGTGATATTGTAACGTACGGAGAAGTTACGAGCATATGGGACATACATATATATTATCTGGTTAACGTGTTTTTAGAGAGTTCCTTTTCTACGGGATGGGGTAGCTAACCCCACACCCGATCTTTCTACTTTATCCGGGATCGGGATCGGTGGTAGCTCCATAGTGGCTTCAGGCGAAATTATATATATATACATATATTTGGAGAAGACACAGTTTATGCACAAAATGTATATACATCAATTTACAATACAAGTAGGTTATAGGCTATCAACTCTTACATCTCTTCTAGTCTTCAGTACACTCTGGACACAGACATTAATTGAATGACTCAATGACCTTAATCAACACCAAAATCAGGATTCTCAATACAAATGTCAAGACAGTTCTACTGTATGGAGTGGAAACTTGGCGAACTACGAAAGCTATCATTCAGAAGATACAAGTGTTTATGAACAGTTGTCTACGCAAAATACTTCGGATTCCTTGGCCAGACACCATCAGCAACAACGAACTGTGGGAGAGAACAAATCAGATTCGAGTGGATGAGGAAATCAGGAAGAAGTGGTGGAGTTGGTGGATAGGACACACATTGAGGAAAGCACCAAACTGCGTCACAAGACAAGCCCTCACATGGAACTCTCAAGGCGAAAGGAAAAGAGGAAGGCCAAAGGACACACTACGCCGTGAAATAGAGAAAGATATGAGAAGAATGAACAAAAATTGGACAGGATTGGAGAGAGAAGCCCAGGACAGAGTTGGTTGCAAAAAACTGGTTGGCGGCCTATGCTCCGTTGGGGGTAACAGGCGTAAGTAAGTAAGTAAGTAAGTAAGTAAGTAAGTGCATAAGTAAGTGACGTAAGCACAAAATTACCTAGTTTGAAGTTTCTAAACTATAAATTTAATATTTTTCTTTGCTTCGTATATTACAACATACTTGTGTTATCACATAAAAACTTTTTATGCATTATTCATAAAATTCAGTGAAAAAGTTGAAGTATTTTCTTGTTTTATTGGTTTTGTTTGATTTTACTTTGTCGTAGTTCATTTTATTTTGTGTTCATATACTAATCACAAGGATACTACTTACTTACGTGTATAGTCAACATTTTTTTCAATGTACTTACTTACACAATGAATTACTCTCAAGGGTAACATATAATTTGTTTTTGTCAAAAAACTTCCTCACCAATTTTAACTGTTATCATTATGAAGTGATTAGAGCCTAAAAAAACGGTATTCTTGTCCACCTTAGAGTTTGTTCAGATGTGCAACTGAGAAAATCAGCAATGACAAGAGATGAATAGGTATATATCTCTTATGATTATTACAACACATACAGTACCTACATTATACACTACAAAATAATAATGAATTTGGAAAAAACCAGAGCAATAAAATATTCATCTCATTTTCATTGCTAGTAAAAAAAACAGCTTTTCTGACACTTGTCGATATCCCTTTGTCTTGTAGTTCAGTCTGGTAAGCTTAGTGATTAATTTTCAACACAGATATAAAAATGGTAAAGTTATTTTACAAGTTTATAGACACCTTTTTTTAAATTATTAATGAATATTAGTTAAAATGAAGTAATTTTTTCAAACTTTTCAACAGTGTACACAAAACAATTTCAAATATTTACGATTAAAATATAGTGAGTAACTCATTAAGTTAATGGTTAATAGGTAGCATTGCAATCTAGAACGTGTGTGTTTTTTTATCCTAGTTGGAACTCGTCTATATCTGCTACATCATCTCAGAGTTGATATTCACTTGAGAACTCGAACTCAGTACAGTTCGCTCACCAAGGTCATTGACTTACTTACTTATTTATGCACTTGCTTACTTACATAGTTGCTTGATTACTTACCTACTTGCTTGATTACTTACTTACTTACTTGCTTACTTGGGGATCTAACAACCCCAGCGAAAACCAATATTTTCATAGGTTACATAAAAAAATAGTTAAAATTTATAAAGATCGTTAGACCATCATTCAAAAGATACAGGTGTCTGTGAACAATTGTCTATGAAAAATACTTCGGATCCGTTGACCAGATATTATCAGCAACAACATACTGTGGGAGAGAACAAACAAGATTCCAGATGAGCAAGAAATTAGACAAAATAGCTGAAGGTAGATAGGATACAGGTTGAGGAAGTAATCAAACTTCGTAAAAAGGCAAGTCCTCACTTAAAACACTTAAGGCCAAATGAAAAGAGGAAGACCGAAGAATACAGTCCGTTCCTATTACTAAATCACCTTTTTGATTGTTTAAAAATAAAGATTTACAAAAATTTATTTGCATTATGAGGGTTAACGTGATTGTTGAGCTACTTTTAGAATTCATGACTCGATTAATATTAGATTACCATTAGATACCTGGGAGAACTGGCGAGGTGTTCGCACGCAAGACCAAATGTCCTGGGTTCGAATCCTGAAAGTTGCAAGAGTCG